TCACTGATTATTTAAAAGTTCCAAGTTTGTACCTCTCCTTCCTGTGTCACACAAGTAATGTTAATACAGTTTGGCAAAAAAATAGCCTTTAGTTTGGCCTAGGTATACTGGATACTTTATTAATTGGGATTCATCTGTTTAGTATGAACACAGAAATAGGACAGTGAAAAAAAACAGATTCTGAATGTGAAGTAGCGTCTTTGTAATTCTTGCATATGTTATATATATATTTTTTAAATGCTGGGTTGATAATGCACTCTTGGAGCTAATCCACTGCCATACATATTTGAGAAAATCGTAGTCATGTTTCATCTAATTAGATTGCAGATGTCCTGTGTACTGTAGACCTTTGGTAACTTTTGTAGGTTGTTAGGTTACATTTGTTTTGTTTGGGATTATAATAGGGGGTACATGATAGACTTGTGAAGTCTCTGAAACTGTACACATGAACCATACTGAAATGGGTTCTATGGTAGTTGAATGTGTGTGTGTGTGTATAGATGTATGTATGTGTGTATATATATATATATATATATAGTGTGTGTGTGTATGTATATATAGATATGTGTTACTCTTGTTACTGTCTAGGAACTGAAGAGTATAGAGGAAGTTGGCAAGATCTCAGATAAAGTTCTAGTACATACTTAAAGAAGTAGAATTCCTCTTGAAAAGAATGCATTGCCTGGCTGCCTCAGTTGGATAAGCAGTAGCCTTCAGCTTTGTTCATGATCTGATGGTCCTCGGTTGGAGCCCAGCTCAGGCTCCCTGCTCATTGGAGAGTCTGCTTCTCCCTCTGCTCCTCCCCCTGTTTGCTCTCTCTCTCAAGTAAATAAATAAAACCTTAAAAAAGAAAAAAAGAATAGAGAGTAGATTAAAAGAGGATTACTATTTTGTGCAAGATTTTTGACATAGTATATATTAATTTAGTATTTATAGATCTTCCATTCTAATCAATAGATTGCCAAGTGGTTTGAAAGAAAAACTATTAGAATTGTAGTTTTTATTATAGTTTTTTGTGATTCTGCAATGTTCACATATTAAAATGTAAGCTTTATAATTCTTGTTATATTTCAGGGACTTACGTTTAGTTGGAATAAAGTTAGATGTATTAGTTGTATGGGTAATTGGCTCAGCTAATCAGGCACAGTGCTAGTAAGACCAAGGACACCATGGCATGTTATTTAACTTTGTTATTTTAACTGAATTTACTTTGTCCAGCTTGTTCACAGAGTTTTGGAAAGGGACCTTAGCAAGTATGTTTAATTTAAATCTTAGATACAGATGACACAGGGAACCATGATCTCTGTAGAGAAGGAAGGGCAACACATTTTTGAGATCTGATTCTGGACTATTTTTTTTACAAAATTTTACATAGATTTAGTACTCTCAGAAGGTATTTAATGATTGCCAAAGGTTTTGTGACCTTTAGAGGACATAAAGGACACAAAATCCTTTGTGTCCTTTACATTAAAGAACTTGAATAGTTAAAAAGCTCAGGAGTGCCTATGGTTTTGTACCTAGTTGTTAGTGGCTACTGAGGTCTTGCCACAGAAGTGGATCCCATCCTCTGAAATGTCTCCTTTTTGCCTGAAATTGCTCTGTGCTCCACTCTTGTTTTTTTTTTTTTTTTTTTTTTTTTTTTTTTTTAATAGGACACTCATTGTGGTCTGTTCTGTGGATTTTTATTAAACATAGGACTGGTCCACATTCCATGCCATTTGATGCCCTGAGCCACAGTTCTTTTTTTTAAAGATTTATTTGTTTATTTGAGAGAGAGTTTGCGAGTGTGAGCAAGTGCAGGGGTGGGGCGGGGGGGGTAGGGTGTGGATGGGGGAAGGGCAGAGGGAGGGGGAGAGAGAGAGAGTCAGGCAGGCTCCATGCTGTTCACCGAGCTGACTTGGGGCTTGATTCCACGACTTTCAGATCACAACCTAAGCCGAAACTTTTGAAAAACCTCCTGAGAGAGATGAGACTTGAACTGAGCTTTAAAGAAGGGATGGGGTTTGCCGCAAGTTGAGCGTGGGTATCTGCTGTGCTTGTGTTTGTAAGGTAGTGCCTTCGTGTATCTTGGACAGGGCAGGGGTTGGTCTGCGCATGTGGCTGGTGGGTGGTATGTGTGATGTTTGGGAGGGAGTCTGTGAGGTGGGTTGTGTGTGCAAAGGGAAGGACTTTGGAGTTTATACTACTGCAGAATTGCTTCAGAAAAAGGGCCTTGCTATTAGGAGGATTTTTCTGGTAATAGTAAGCTGGGTGGATTTAGAAGGGGAAGGTGCTTAGGAGGCTATTATAGTAGTTCTGACCTGAACTGAGAAGAGTGGATGGCAGTGGGGGTGGGAAGGAACTGATTGGACAGAAACCACTACAGACAGAGACTCTGGGGGTGGGGGAGCAGGATTCAAGAGGATTCTGCTTTTCTGTGCTGGGTGCAGAGGTCCTCATGGTGTGGGAGAAGTCAGGGTTAGGAGTTTGCTGTGGGTGGAAGAGAAGAGGTTTAATGGAGGATGCGGTAAGGTGATTGGAGCCCTGAAATGAGGTCAGATTTATGGAGAGAGGGTCCTCTGTATCATCAGTCTTCAGGATCTTGCTCCAGGCCAGTTGTTTTTTCTGTTAACTGTTGTGAGGATGGACAATTATGTAGAAAGATGTGGGAGAAAAGAGGGGAATGACTGTGGGATTTTTGGCTTAAGAGTTGAGTAGTACTTTTTATGTATCAATATTACAGTTCAGGAGTGCCAGGTGATATTTTAATAGAACCTGAAAATTCAGCATGCTTGGAATAACCTGCTAGTTATAACTTTCATTTTTAGTCCCCTAAGATGCTTTCTGAGCATTTGTAAATTTCTACAGATTTATGCTAATTAATATTTATATCAATAATTTATGTTAATGAGTTTATATTACTGAATACAGACTCATACCTAATAAAGCTAATACAGACCTTAAAGACTGCTATTAGTCCTTTGGATGATTTACCATTTGAAACTAACTGGCAATTGAGCTGCTCTGTTTCTTAAGAAGTTTGTACTTGATGAGGATTATTTCACTTCTCTAGTTTCCTTTGATAGGGTTTTAGTAGGTGGTTGGGAGAAGTTGTAGGGTAGCTACAATTTTGAGGAATATCTGTAATATAGATCTATTTCTTCTGCAGTGTTTAGTAACACTTCACACATACGGTTTAACTAATTCATTATTAAGCATGACAGTATTAAAAATGAGTTAGTAGCCTTTTTCCCTGATCCTTAATCTGTATGCCCATAATACTTGTGCTTTTATTAGTATTTGAAGTGGGAAGTATAAAATCAAAACTGATTGATATACTTGGGGACATTATTCAATCTGTCTACAGGGAGAGCGGGATACAGAAATGGATTCATGGACTCTTTGGTCCACAGAATGGAAACTGCTGGTATTGCATTCGAATCAAGGAATATTTGTTTGAAAAGTAGAAGTTGTATCTGTTTCTCCTTAAAGAGAGTCCAGATTTTGCAGATTTTATTTTTGCTTCTTATTGTACCAATTAATTGAAGTATGATTCATTGGATAGAATTTGGAAATCTGTGTTACATGTAAAATTAGACTTGTAAATTAGATTTACTTGGGTATATGATTATACGTTAAAAGATATTTAGCAACAGTTTTATTTCACTGTACAATATTAACTCTCAGAGCTGATTGCTATTAAAAATAATTTTATTTTGGGGGGGATTTTTGACATCTGGAAGAAAAAGTAAGTGTACTTAGTGTTCATTTCATCTCAGTAATGCAAAATCATGTAGTTGAGGCCAAAGTAATCTTTACTCTTCCATTTCATTTACTGATTACAACATGTACAAATGACTCTCTCAGGTAATCCTCTCCAAAGAGTTTGTTTTCATTTACTAAAAAGTGGTATTTCTACAAAGTCTCAATTTCCTGTAGAGTTGATACTGTATATACATCATTATTTAATATCATGTACTTACTTAAAACTCTTGGAGGATGGTTTTGGTATTGTTTAGTTACCTGGATTTTTGAAGAGAGAGGCTATTTACCAGGCATATATGACAATGACTATTTTATGGCAGTTTTTTGTTTTATTTATTTTTTTTGTCAGATGCGGACATTTAAATATGTTGTGCTGGCACATTAGTTCCATGAAGATTAGCTAATGTAATGTAAGGTTACAAGCTGTTTAGTTGAGCCTATGAGCATATCAAAGTAAGACTTACTAAAGCAAGCCTGAAATTTTGAATGTGAATATTTTAAATGAAATATGGAAATTACTTCTGGTAGCCTTGGATATATATTCATTATGTCATTTGTTCTTGTCATGATAAGTTTCTACTTGATCATGTTATTTTCCAGTAGCATGAACAACTTATTTATATTTCATTCTTGAGAAGCTAAAGGAAGAAACTGCCTGGTGAATATGAAAATTGCCTTTAAATTCGATTGTCCCATTTTATGGATGCTTATGATTATAGTTCCTTGCTCTTCACACTTTTGGATGGTGTTAGAGTGTGTGTATAACTGTGTACAAGCTAAATTTCAAAATCTAAGCAATATGAATATAAATAACCTGGGATAAGGAAAAAATAGAGTTGCTGAAGGAGAAAAAGAATTCAGGCTAAATAAAAGCAATATTTATTTTTTGCTTTTTCTGCTTACTTGGTTTACATCATCTTTCTTCAATAGTAAGTAATACGGGCAGGAACTGACTTAGCACTACTAAGTTAATATTAACCATGCCATTAGTGCACATACATGCACGTTTAAGGCTTTAGAGAAAAATGTCTTTCCCATGTCTAATTTGACTAGCTCAATGAGTTAGCTGATTTTTTTGCTAAATTAATTTGATTTATTAAAGTGCTTAATACATAAAAAAATAAAATGCTTAATACAATAATCCATTATTAAAAGAAATAAGTAAAATAAAATAAAGGCTTTTTTTTTTTAATAATAAATACTTCTGGATAAAGTAGCAGGCTTCAAGTGAAACTCAGTTTTGGTTTCCTTTACAGGACTAGCTATTCACAGTCAGACAGAACCACTTAGCACGCTTTGCCAGTGTCTCCTGAGGAAGTCAGAATCTGAGCCAGCATGAAGACTGAATCTTGTCTTTGGTCTGATTTATAAAACCTTACTTTTATTCTAACCATGTGCAAGGTGGAGGTTATAGCATGGAAACTAAAACCTTAGTAAGTGTGATTTTTATTTTAGCTATTAAATTATAGCCTTTCTTTTAGTGAATTTGTCCTCTTAATGGAGTTCACACTGTAAATGGGTGAGGACTTGGCAAACAGAGACACAATAATGCACTTAACAAAATGAAAGCTTGAGCTTTTCAGGTCAGGAAAAATCCCTGAGAAAGAGAGGCAAAAGCTTCTGTTACTCTGCCTAGGATTTTTCACTTTTCTGGCTAAAAATAGGTGGCAGGATGATATTTAGTTGAGGGATTTAAGAAAATGAAGGGTCTGGCTTTAGTGTCAGCCATTAAAAGAAAAATCATTATTAAGTTTGCTGTGGAAGTTACTTCATAGATTAAGTTGGTATTAAATCATGAAGTCTTCATTTTAGTGTAGTGTTAGTAGTAAGCCCAGTCTAGGAAGCTTTTAAATAGTTGAATATATTTTCAGTATGAAAATTTTCATAAAATTTCATAAAAATTCAGTTGAATTTTTAGTATATTTTAAATATTGAATATTTTGAGTATGAATATTCAAAATTCTACTGGACTGAGTATATGCTAGTAATTATCTTAGGGACGTTCCGTCGATTTTATTGTCCTAATAGGTGATACACAGTTTTTATCTTTTTGTGCTCCAGACAGAACTAGATTTTGAGGGTGCAGTATTTCATAGTGTTACTTTTATGATTGTAAGGATTACTCTTCAACATTTTTCTTTTCTGCCTGTGCTTTTAAGAGCAGTGGATAAGTAGCATTTTTAAGCTGCTTTTTTTCTTTCTTAGCAAAATGTTAGAATTGACTTTGTTTGATCTTCTGAATTTTTCAGTGAATCAAACATAATGATACTGTACCTAGATAGCATAAGAATCTGTGCTATCATAGATAGTGTTATGTTCATAATTTGAGAATTGTTATGTGTTTATTTGGTTTTTGTGTTCTTTCCCTTCTCTTTGAATCTTAACTATTGATTACTTTTCTAAATTGATGATGATGACCTGGCTTAAATTAAGCATTTCTATTAGTAGCTTCTTTTTTAACTTGCTTCCCTTTTAGAACAAATCTTTTATCTTCTGCTTATCTCTTTTGCATTCTAAAGTACAATATCATTAAATCCCAAGGTCTAAGATTTTTCCTTGGGACTTATCTCTGGTGTCTCTAATGGAAATTGGAAAAACAAGGATACTTCATTGTTAAATTTTTCAGGCTTCTTTTGAGAGATTTCTATTTTATAAGTTGAAGGGTAGTTTTGGGGCACATTTTCAGAGATGAAATTATGTAGTTATTGTTTTAATAACCATGTCCTAATTATTTATAGCTCCCTGCCTGACATAACTCACTTCAAGAAGAGCACAATGTCAGAACGTGGAATTAAGTGGGCTTGTGAATATTGTACGTATGAAAACTGGCCATCTGCGATCAAGTGTACTATGTGTCGTGCCCAAAGACCAAGTGGAACAATTATCACAGAAGATCCATTTAAAAGCGGTTCAAGTGATGTTGGTAGAGATTGGGATCCTTCTAGCACCGAAGGAGGAAGTAGTCCTTTGATATGTCCAGACTCTAGTGCAAGACCCAGGGTTAAGTCTTCTTACAGCATGGAAAATGCAAATAAATGGTCATGCCACATGTGCACCTATTTGAACTGGCCAAGAGCAATCAGATGTACCCAGTGCTTATCCCAGCGTAGGACCAGGAGTCCCACAGAATCTCCTCAATCCTCAGGATCTGGTTCCAGACCAGTTGCTTTTTCTGTTGATCCTTGCGAGGAATACAATGATAGAAATAAACCGAACACAAGGACCCAGCATTGGACTTGTTCTATTTGCACGTATGAAAACTGGGCCAAGGCTAAAAAATGTGTTGTTTGTGATCATCCCAGACCTAATAATATTGAAGCAATAGAGTTGGCAGAGACTGAAGAGGCTTCTTCAATAATAAATGAGCAAGACCGAGCTCGGTGGAGGGGAAGCTGCAGCAGTGGGAATAGCCAAAGAAGATCACCTCCTACTACGAAACGGGACTCTGAAATGAAAATGGATTTTCAGAGGATTGAATTGGCTGGTGCTGTTGGCAGCAAGGAGGAACTTGAAGTGGACTTTAAAAAGCTAAAGCAAATTAAAAACAGGATGAAAAAGACTGATTGGCTATTCCTCAATGCTTGTGTGGGTAAGTTTCTGCATTTTTTTTTGAATGGGATGGGAAAAGATATTAAAAATGATATGAAAGATACTATTAGGATTTATATTACTTAGCATTTAGGTCATTCAGCATGATAGCTGTACTCCCACTATGCGTGCATAAGAATCTCTGTATTTGTGATCTTGTTATAATAACTTTGTCCTAAATTGCCTCTGTTTCATTGTGTGTCTTCCCATCATTAGGGAGAAAAGCTTTTTAAGTTAAAGCAAAGTTTTTTACACATCAGTGGAAGAAATACATACCTGGAGTTTAAAACTGCTACTCTATTTATTGTAACAAGATGTGACTGAGGAACACCAGCTGCTGCTTCAAAGTGTTTGTAAACAGTGTGAGCATCTTGTGATGATAGAAGCTTTAGTCAGATGTTAAAAATATCACAAAAATGTGACTCCAAGAAGTTGAACAACCATAATATTGACCTTGAAAATACTGATGTTAATTCAACATGAATGTCATTTAGTAAATATTTGCAAATTTTATGAAACTAATTTCACGTACCCCGCTGAATTCCACAGTTCAAATTATGATTTGTGTATTTTGTGATTTTAGCGCTTCCTAAGGAAATTCTGAATATTGGTCCCAGTTACTGCCTCAGACCTGTCGAAGGACCAGGACTTGTGCGAGCAGGGTTTTCTCTAGTTACTGACCTTGTGAGTTAAATATTGGTGATGTAATTCACAAAAGCAGTTATTGGATGCTCTGTGCTTTTTCTTTTCTTTTTGAGTAGATTAGCTTTTTGAATTTTATGATTTAAATTTGGGTGGGGTGCGTACTTTGATAGTCTGTTTTGTAAAGAAAATTTTTGTAGAGGATTATTTGGAATGACTATTCAAGTTAAATATTGTGTGGAACAATAGCTAAGCTTTAGATAGAGCTTAGCTTTATGTGATTTTTTTCCCATTTAAAATTTCTTTTGTTTAACCTCCTGAATATAGCTCCAAGAACATAGAAGACAAAACTGTTTGAGCCTGTAGGTCCTAAGTGTAGATTTCAAGAAATCTGACTTTTTAATTTCAGTTTTGTCCCAGAAGGTAAATCCTTCTGAACACCAAAACACAGTAGGCACTTAGTAACTCCGAGCTCCAATTTTCTTCTATCCTGAGGACTAGGGATGAGAGTGCACTGAGCCATTTTAGGCTGTCCTAAGTGTTGTCCAGTGTTGTCCCATTTCATCCCATTGATTTTTTTTTTTCTTCTTCAAATTGGGGTACCCTTTATAATATAATTTTCCTTTTTTTTTTTTTTTAAGGAGATACAAAAGGTCATACTGTCTCTGACCATCACGGCTGCTTTCTGACTTAGCTATTCTGGATAGTCCATATAAATGGATTCATACGTGACCCTTTGTATCTAGGTGTGATTGTCTTTTAGTTACCTGGATGCCTTTTGGAAACTCTTAAAGAATCACTTTTGCAGGTGGTAATGCATTATGCATACATTTAGTACAAGGTCATATTATATAGTACAGGTAAGTTTATAGATGAAATACATTGAGACAACTATTAACCTCTGTTGGGATCATAGAATCCTTTAGAAATCGGAGGTTCATAGTTTCTTCAAGATTGTGGATCTCAGGATAAGAACTTCTGCTTTGAAATAGTTTTTCTTGAAACACACAAATTAGAAGATCAATAGAACTCTGTCTTTGTGGCTATTATTTCTTGCTTTCCCGACTACTCATTTTGTTGCTGCTTTTTCTTTCCACATGACCTTACTTCTTTTGGGATAACCATCCTTGTACCTCTTTGCATTTTGCTGGCTGTGAGTTCATTTTAAGGGTGAAACAAAACTCCTGCCAGCAGAACCACTGTTGTATTTGATCTTGTTTCATTTAACAGTTTCTTTGTTATTAAGTCCCTATTCCCACCCATTCCAGGGTTTTTAGGTTCTTAGGGCCACGTATTAATTGTATTTAGTTCTTGGTAATGTGCATTCTGTTTTTCCTATCAACAAATATTTTTTACTTCACCATACAGTATGGTTCTGAACTGTTGTACCAAAAATTATGGCCATGTTTTTATTGGGTAGTCCTATCCTAACTTGTAAACATCACTGAAATATGTGTGAAACTTTTTTTTTTTTTGTTTACCTTGTATTGGGTTAATAAACAGAAGCCCACATGTACTGAAAATTAATCTTTACTTCCCTATTTCTGCTTGCTTTATGTTCTCCAAATTTCATCAGATATGACATTATGGTTTGTCCATGTTAGGCATTTAAGAAAATCATCTCTGTGGTCCCTTTGGTAGCATATATACTAAAAAAAAAAAATCATCCCTCCCTTTGAAATTGGAAAAAGTCTCAAAGTCTAGCCAGTTTTGTAGCTTGTTAAAATAGGAATGAGGAAGATTCAGTTGTTAAGGCAAAAGTAAATTGAAGGGCCAAGAGTATTGAGCAAGTTTCTTTTTTACATGACCGTTGGGTATAAGTTTCACCTAAGTCATTATTATTATCTTATGTGGTGAGTGGACATTGGGGGCAGCAGTGCCGAAGCCTGACATCAGTGAAAGTGGAATTTGGGGGTGGGAACTGGGATGGTAAAGGCAGAGGTGTGAATTTAAATGTGCAGTTGTCTCTGGAATGTCTGCAGTTTGGTGCCGGGTATTTTCTGGGAGGTCATGTTGGTGCTAATCATAGACTGCCTTTCCTGCTGGATAGATAATGTCCCTAGAGAATAGGCACCTACCTAACATACCATTTTAGTTCTGCTATTGTATTGAATTGGTTGCCCTTTAGAAAACGTTTAAATTTGTGACCCATGTTTATCCACTGAAAAAAAAAAATTCAGGGTCACATAAGAATCCCATATTAAATCTGTAGTGATAACTTTTTGTATTCCCGAACTCTGGACTTTGTATATCTAGTTGTGTACGCCACATCTTCCCTTGAATAGCTAATATTTACAACTTCTTTACAACTTAGTGATGCTGAAACTGTACTGATCTCTCTCTCAAACCTATTCTTTCACAGTCCCCCTCTCCCTTGATGGCAGGTTTATCCTTCCACTGGCCGTGCCCAAAGCCTTGGTCATCGTTGATTCTCCTTTTTTCTCTTACTCCTTTCCTACTTGTTGGCAAATCTTCCTGGCTTACCTTCGAAATATATGCAGAATCTGACCACTTCTCACTACACTGGTCCAAACCATGATCCTCTCTGTCCTTGTCGTCTTTTACAAACTGTTCTCCAAGTAGGAGGTACTCTTGTGAAACTGCTCAGAACTCTTCAGTGATTGCCTTTGTTGCTTAGAGTAAAAGCTAGAGTCCCTCAGAGACTCTCTAGGCCTCCCACAGTTGTGTCCTATACTTTTCTGTCTTCCTCCCCACCTTACAAATTCCCCCCTCCCCACCTATCTGTTGCTCTCAACTTCATTCATTCACTGTAGCTACTCTGGCCACCTTTCTTCTCTACACGTAAGCCTCAAACCTTTGAATGTGCCTGGATTACTCATTCTCTAGATTGCAGGATTAGCTCATTTAGTTGCTTAAATTCTTTTTCTCAATTGTTACCTTCTCTGTGAGGCCTCCCTGACTGTTATTATCTATAATTTCAGCCCTGTTCTTACTACGCCATCCCCCAGTTTTAATTTTCTTCACGACCGTTGTCACTTTCCACTTTGTCTCCTTTTTTCTTAAAATTTAAGCTTCATGAAAGTCAGGAGTTTTGTCTCCATCAGAGCTATATCCTAGTACCTAAAACAGTGCCTGATACATAGCAGGCATCCAGGCATTTGTTAAATTATTCAACAAATAAGCCCTTGTGGAAACTGGGATCTGGACAAATTGGTCTTTATGCTCCTTTTCTGAATTTCTGGATTTTTTACTTTCTTCCTAGCTTCCGTTTTTTTTTTTTTTTTTATTTTACAAACTACCCAGGGCTTGAGCTAATGGGAGCCAAGTTGATTTCTCCTTGTAAGGAAAAGATAGGAAGTTGGTACAATATAGTCTTGGAAGAGGCACACCTCAGTTTATCACTAGGCAGTCTATGGATATGAAAAGTCTGAAGTCAGATTTCTTTACCTTATATTTCTCTTCTTGCCTTCAATGATGAATATTTGACAGTTTGGTGAATGTATGATATAAAGAAAAAAATCCTGTGTTTGCTATTCCTGAAGTCCTAAAGCAAATAAAATTTTTACTTGAATATTTTATATTGTTATTGAATCTGTTGCAGTTTGGCATTTTGTCTCATGTCTTCAACAACAGCTGCATCTTTCTTATGTTTAGCTTGTCCAGTGACCCTGCTAATGAAGATGGGAAAGATTTGAGATCGGGGGTCCAGAGTAGTGTTGAAAGTATAGGGGAAGAAGAATGAAGCTTGTATAACGAGTACATGTTGAAACTAGATTTTTAGGCTGAAAGTATTCAGTTGCCTCATGGCGGTGGCATAGAGAAATGTGTGCATCAGTAATGTCTTCTGTTGCTCCCAGGCTTTGGGGTGACCTGAAGCATGTGCTGGTGTCCCTTATTGAGAATCACTGACTTATGGACTAAATCAGAATCTCCTCATCAGTGAGCATGCTGAAATGGCAGCATGAGGATTGTAGTCTGGGGTATTCCTGAGCAAAATTTTGATGTGTTAAAAATCTTACATGATTCTTAAAATACAGAAAACACGTTAGCATTGACTTTTTCTTTCAAGTTGTCTGCAAAGGTAGTTCTTCTGTTTGCTCGAATATTTCCCCTTTTCTCATAACATGTTGAAAATCAGTATTTGTGGCTGTTATTTTCTGCACTTATGCCAACTGCATTTTGGCTCCTTGCCTGTGTACTGTGTCCTGCATAGCTACTCTGGAGCACCAGACGCAGCTGCAAAATACCTATGACTTGTATGGAGGTAAACATGTCAATGTGTTTGTTTGCTTTCACTAATACTTTTTTCATTTTGACAAAAGTTAGTGAGGTATAGTCTTTTACCTTTTAAAATACTCCGTTTATTTTGGTATCATTATTAAGAATTATAGATATGGA